TAGAAAACACCTGCTTAGGGATTTGAAAACACTCACCTGAAGCAATATTGATATATGGGGACCTAGCAGAGGATGTTGTCACCTCCTTGCCTTTGGAAAGCCCTTCTTTTAGAAGACTCGAGGGGCCTTCGGATCCTAGCTCACAGATACTTAAACCTCTGTCTCACCCTCAACCAGAGCAACTTAGAGCAATGTCACATGCTCTCAGGAACATCCCTCCTTGGATGGGAAAAAAGTCTGCTGAATTGGCAATTAACACGCAGCTCACCTATCCAATTTAGCCTATCCCCTGTATAATAAGCACCTGACTGAGCCTAGAAACTAGCTAGAATTTTAGTATAAAATATATTTCTGGGCTCATGGTGGGATATATTTAAATTCTGAATCCTCAAGAAAAAAATTTACACAACATGGGCACATTTTTGATCTTCTGGTCTCCAAAGTCAGATGGGAAAGAAAATCAGGTAGAAAAGTCGTAAAATAATCAATCTCTATGTTTTATTTCATCTTTAGTTTCTATTTTCATATATTTTCTAATTCCTGTAATTAGGACGCTAAAGATGACAATAGTTACAGCAACAACTGACGCTCACCATATACCAGGCACTGTCTAAAAGCATTTCACGTGTTTAAGCTCAGTTTAATTCTATAGCAACACGATGGGGTAGGTACCATTATTAGCACCTTTTATAGGTATATGATTTACAAATGAATTTATGAATATACATAAATTGAGAATACATGCTTAAATTATTAATGTACTGTCAGGTGTCCATGGTCGAAAATACCACTATTCTGGTCTCTCAGGCTTCCTCCGTTTTTTTGGGTACCCCCTACTTCTGCATGCACTCCCCCAATCCTGTGGTCATACTCTCAAGGTCTTTGAGTGTCCCCCACTTCTGTGGGCACCCAGAAATTGCAGGATCTCCTGCTTGCCTAAAGGCTTAGTGTGACTGAGAAGGCTCGGAATTCCAAGAGCTGCAGCGTTTCTTCGGTAAAATCATTAGCAGCCTAATCAGCATTCATTTTAGGGACCTGCTCAGGGCCCTCACTGTTAATACCCCACAGTGAATTCTCACAATTCCCAACCATTTCTGCCAATCACTTTCAAATGGGCTTGCGCCCTGTTCTTTTGATTTTGTTGCCATTGGAATGGCTGGCTGCCTTCCCTCCCCGCCAGCTTCTTTGTCTCAATGGAAAAAGATACCCACCAGTTTAAAGACCGAGGTGGCAGGGGCCGCCTTCCATCAGAGGAAGGCTGTGCAGCACCAAATTCATCCAAGGTCACTGCAGCAGAGGGACCTGGTGAAGGGGCCAGGCTGCCCTTACACATCACAACCCACCAGGGGCTTGGCAACAGCACGCCCTTAATTTAAGGCATTGGGTTTGAATTTGAGTCATCGTGCCATATTTCAGCCTTTCATTTGCCAAACCACCAGTCAACTTAAACTAAAACATGTTTTTGGAAAAGACTTTTAGGGGCGGTAGGAATGCAGTAACTTGCTGGAAACATTCAAATGGACTTAGGGTGGTAATGCAGAAAAAAATAAAAATATGCACTACTGGTTTAGCTTGTGGATGTTCTTCTCTGCTGCAGAGGGACAGAGAGGGTGAGGTTGCAAACTTCTGTTTGTCCTTCCTGATCTGATGCACACAGAGGTCACTTCATTCAGGTCAGGAAACCGCTATTCAAGGTTCTTCCTGGTCTGAAGACAGCATCTACAGTTACCATGTACTTGGCCACATTCTCATCCCATAGAGAGAGCTGGGAGGACCAGATCAAAGAGCATTCTGGCATTAAAGCGTTAAAGCCCTCTCTTGCACTTGTGCCTCGGGGTGTCTTGTTTAAAAACTCATTATGCAAAATATAACATTTGGGCTCCCAAGTAGTTTCTGAGCTGGTTTACAAACTTGAAAACACACTGGGATCACCTGGTGGATAAATTTAAGTAGCAGTGCCTGGGCACCACCTTCAACTGATGAACTCGAGTGCTCTAGAGGTGGGCTTCCGTAGAGGAGCAAGCTTCACAGGTGATTCTAATGTGCAGATGTGATTCTGATGTGTTTACTGGAGATCCACTCTCTCCGCTGGCCTCTCTGTGCCCTGGGTGGGTTAGTCAGTACTTGCTTTCTTGTGGTTACGGTTCTAACCCCACCACTGGCCTAGCCCCTGGAATCCTCGCTGGCTCCCCAGGGGACTTTCCAAAATGTGGTCTTGAGGCATGGTGTAAACCCATTTTTTAAAAATGGCCTTTCATAAGCTACTGCTTTTAAAGATTTAAAATCATCTTTAAAACCCAGTTAAAACTATGTTTAAGCCATTGGAAGTGTGTAGACAAGCAGGTAGAGGCAATGAGTGTAGCCTGAAGCCAATTAAAAAAAGGTACAAATGCTGTATAAAAACCTCTCCTATTTATATTCAAATTTTGATTCCAAAAGTTCCACAAAATTTTCATGCTGATAAAACATCATAACATTGAGATAGGAGTGTTGGCTATCCCTTTTATTCCCTCTGCATGTCTCTTTTATTAACATTGACAGCTAGCATGAACATGACACCTTTTTAAAAAATGTACTTTGTCTTTAAAGAGGTTAAACAGATTTTAAGGCTTCAAAGTTGGTTCGGTTTCTTACTGGGACTGAGGAATCATTGTAGTATTAAAAAACCATTAAGCTGCAGTAGTAAGATGAGGATAACATACTGGCAAGCTACTTTGCAAAGTTGGTTTAAGGATAAGAAGAATATTTGAGAAGTGTCTTAAGTTCCTTAGAAGAAAACCCTCAAAACATGGTGCCTATCATTAAAATGTTTTAAGCTCTTTATAAAAATGGCATTTCTCAAATTACAGAGGACCCTTAACAGTGAAGGGGAAAAAAAGATTGTTCTTTCCAAAATGGAAATATTCCCCCCTCTTTCTGAACCTAGTAACTGAAAGCATTCAGTAGTTTCTTAAAGGTTAGGAGAATGTGCTCAGGATGTATTTTACAATCAGATACTGACAGACACAAGTCCTCTATGCTGAGTTTTAATCAAGGGCAAAGGGCATGATTCCCCAGGTAATTTTTCTTTTTTCTAAGTAGAAAAACATTTCTTATCAACCAAATTGAAAAGACTTTTCAGGGAGAATAAACAATAATTTTGATAAGTAGGTAATAATAAGTATTAGTAGCTAACTTTGAATAACATATTCTGGTCTGCAGAGTATTTCCATATATGTTACTGAGTTTCACAGATACCCTGTGAAGTGAGGTTATTCTAAGTCCTTCTTACACCCGGGAACGTGAGTGTTGGAGAGGCTGAAACAGCGTGAAAGCCGTGGAGCTGGGATCTGACCTCAGGCCATTTTACTTTCAATCCTCTGCTTATATGGAACTCATTGCAGCGGCTAAAGAGTGTGGACTTTAGACTGCCCAGGTTTCAGATCTGGATTTCTTCCCTTCTGTAGCTTCGTGACCTTGGACAGGTCATTTTTACCTCACTGTACCTCTGTTTATATAAACAGCGATGATAAAAGTACCTACACTTTACAGGGTTAATGGAAGGCTAAAAGGTGTCAGTGCACATAATTGCATGAAACAGAATATCACTATTTGAATCCTTGTTCCTTTGCTTTATTTCTTGTGAGAAGGAGAACAAGTAGGAAGGAGAACCGTCTTAAAACTGACCAAATGCTGATCAGTTTGGAATCAAGACATCAGATCTGGGTGTCTTCCTCTAACACCTAGAGGATGGAAACTATTCATAGTCTTAGCAACAAGTTTCCAGATCTTCCCGGGCTTGACTCCAACCAGCCTGCACTGGGTTGCCGGCCACAGTGACCTCCCAGAAGCGGCAGAGTCTTGATGAAATGACATGAACATTTCATCAAGAAGGTCTCTTATTTTCATCCCTTTTGGACTGGAATAAGGGCTCAGCTGAAGACTAGACAGGTCTGGTCATGGGCTCAGCTCAGAGCTTCTAACCTACAAGAGGCCTGGGTTTTTTATCAGGTCAGTTGGGACGGCCAGCCCTGCATCTGCCCAGATGACAGGTGAATGATCCAGGCCTCAAGGGGGCTTGAATGTCATCGCTCTGGCTGAGCCTCTGCAATCATCTGACTCAATGACACGGCACTGAGAAGCACAACCCAGGGAAAAGAAAATAAAAACCCAACCAACTAACACCCGCAGCGGGTAAATTCCCTCCTACTTCTGATCCTAAAACCCAAACAGCTGCTACCCGCCCAGGTGGAACCACTGACAAAAACATACAAGGGAGCTTAGGGGGAAAAACAACCACCAACCAACTAAAAAGAATCAGTGACTTGAAGGTCATGGTTAGACTTCCTTGCTTTACTACCTTCATCATTAATATTTTGCTAAAGCTCATTAAAAAATTATTTTTTTCCAACATAGGGTTTAAAATGGGAAGCAACTGAGCCAAACAGGTAGTTTCAGGCTTTAAGTGAACCTGGGACTGAATATTGTTACTACATGGGGGTGGGGGAAGGGAGTCTGGAGGAAGAAGTTCTGGGGTGCTTTGAACTCACCCAGTTTTGAGGCTTAAACCAAGAATGCCTTAGGGTCACCTAGAGTCAGCTAAAGCCGGGCAGGAAGGACAGTGAGAACAATCATAGGTGCACAAAGTTTTTAAAACAAGCCAAGGTGCTTTACAACTTGCTTTCTGCTGAATTCTCTGTTGCTGATCTTACTGCTAGAGCCCGTGCTGCCTGCACTGTGGCTCACGTGAGGTATTACGGCGGCCCCTGTCTGAGGGGGCCAATCTCAGGGACATCCATATGGATGGCTCCATCCTACGTGGATCTCAGTATCCGTATAGGAACCTGAAGTACATCGGGGGAGGGGGGAGTTGAGGAATCCATTTCCTGCTTTCCTTAAAATCCCCAGGGTCCTAAAAAGTTGTTTGCTTGTGTTTTTTTTGGTTGGTGTGGGGGAACTACTTCAAGACAACCCGAAAAGACAATTCAGCTTGGGAGTCTGGGTAATCTACAGAGACTCACCCGTACGACGTAGTTAAATCTTCTGGAATCCAGAATGGCAGTCGAGAAGTCCAGCCTGTTGAAGGCTTCCCCCAAAGTGCAATATCCATGGCGCTGAATGTGAAAGCAGGGGGTGCAGAGGTCATTTTCCAGAAAAATCTGCCTGGACTCTGCTGACAAGCTTGGTGGCTGTGTTAGGTAACCTATGGCCATCTGCTGCTTTCCTGTGCCATGATCAGCCCTTTCTGGGCCCCTGGGCCCCTGGTGCCCTGCCCCACCATGAGCCACAAAGATGGGTAGTACAGCCGGCAGCTGCTTTAGTCAGTGACTAAAGTCGTGACATGTACCATTTGGGCCCTTGTTCTCTGCACGCACTTGTACTTGCCTGTCAAGGAAAGGTTGGGAGCTGGGTATGTGATGTGTGTTGGTCACTGTAACATACTCCTGGGGGAAGAATTAGCCCCATGTGTGTCAACTCTGTCTGCCACATCTCTGGTACTTTTCTCTCTGTGATCATCAGAAACGTTTTTAAGGCTTCATGAAGAAGCCAAAGAAGTTTTGGTCTTTTCTCTGTGAACACACAAGGCACTGGGTGTAGAGAGCCCTGACTCACAGTCCCAGCTCTGCTTCTAGTACCTGGGTGGTCTCGGGTGTATCCCTGGCCCTCTCAGGGCCTCAAGTCACAGAGCGAACTAGATGTTCTCCAAGGTCCCTGACAGCAATAGAAATTCTATCAATCTGTCATACTGCCTGTATCCTAGTTATCTGAGCAAATGCCTGTGCAGCGGGAAAATGTACATAAAAGGGTTTTACAAAGTGCCATGCAAATTTAGATATTACAGTGTCTTGTTCTCTTCTGCATCTAGCTCGTGCAGCCTCACACTGGGTGCGCACGAAAACTTCTCCCGTATTTAGTGATTAACCCTTCCAGGGCTAAAATGAATTGAGTTGAAGTCTAAAAGAGACCTTAGAACAAAAGGGAGGCACTGCCCTGAGGGAAAGGCTAAAGCTTTATAATAGTGTGTTTGAGATGTGGGAATATTAATCTTTATAAAGCATTGCTACATACATCATCCCACTGAATGACTGGGGAGCCCACCTAGTGACTTTTGCATCTCTCTCTGTAGCCCCAAACTCTGATGGCTGGCTAGGTAGTGGGCTGCAGACCTCCACCACCCACATCCAAGAAGACAGTCATGATGTGAAGTAGTTTCCCAGTCTCGCCCCTACCCTGTCAGGGGAGGCATAAAGCTAAGCATACTCCTTAGTAAACAGATGGGTGCTCACCTCTTTAGTACTTCCTTTGTGAACATAGATCCATTTTTCTTGGTGGAAATCTACAAAGACAAAATAAAAACAACCCAAAACCCCACAGCTTTAAAATTTATAACATGCCCAAGATTTTAAACTTGTTTCGTTTTCATTTAATCCAAAGTGTAAAAAAGTTTCGACAAAAAAGGACAGACTACTGACAATCTAAGGGGAGGCAAATGCCTAACTTCTGCAGTGTATAAATACTGGAGTTGTAATTTACTTTGTCGGAAGCACTTCAAGTCTTTGATACTCAGATTGAGTATACCAGAGCTCCAAATTAAAGAAAAAAATCTAATACCCAAGTACGAGTTTGTGTTAAATGCCAAGCTTACAAGTTAAACAAGGCCATAAAGAGTAGAAATAAAACAGATAATATGAAGAAGCCATGCAGTACAGATGGAATAAACTAAAGATCTGTAATTCATGCTTATTAATAGAACTTTATACTCTCTGTTCATACTTACATCCAGCATCTAGAAATGTTACTAGTATTTATACAAGGGAAGAGGGAGAAAGAAATCTATGTTCGAAGCCTCAAAACACAGTTCTAAACAAAAGCACACACTGGAACTGGTTCAGCTGACCATACCACTGAATAATAACTAAACTTAACTGTGTCAAATGTAAGTGACAAGCAGGGAAAAAACACCCCAACTAGCAACTGACTTATAAACACGACTGTAAAGAATACATTAATCTCACTCATAAAATGCACAGCCAGGTTTCTGAGAGCAAAGATCCGGGTAACCTCTGTGAATGACACAGTCAACATGAAAGCGGATGCCAAACATGTGAGGTGTGATTTGTTCCCCTGCCAAAACCCAATCATAATGATCTTCAGCTTTCTTCTCAAGTTCACAACAAACGGCTTACATTGAGTTTTGGTTTTGCTATTCAGCATGTCCTTCTTTCTCTTCTTGGCTGCAACATCATAGTTCAGGCTGTTGAAAAGATTCTCCTTATTGTATACTTCCTTGCTGCAGTAACTAGGAATAACAGACAAGAGGGGATGAGCTGTAACAGCTATACTTTAACATGAGCTGTTTCTATAAATAGCTTACTGTGTTATAAAACACAAACATACATGCTCCTCAAACCAAACAATAAAATAATCACTCAAAAGAAGTCTGTACGGGCCCAGTCTTCCCTCTTCGGGGATGAAATAGTGTCACATCTCTGTGGAAGGCAGGGACGGGGGCTTCTGCTTCTTTTGAATTCCCAACAGTGTCTGCCATTGTATTTGACGCACAGCCCTGCACTCTTTAGGAGCCATGCGGGGTACAACAACATTATTTTAAGCAAAAATGATGAATGGATGGGGAGGGAGGGAGGGAGAGGAATTGTTACTGGTATCACTATAATACACAATACTTTCATTTTGCAAAAACATCCACCCCAAGCTGCTTTTTAAAAAAAACCGCTTTATGGAGATATAATTCACATACCATACAATTCACCTATTTAAAGTGAACCCAAGCTGCTTTTAACTAGCATGCTCCCCTTGTGTCTTTAAAACATTTACAAAAATCTGACTTACAGACTGCATCTCTAGGAGATGTTCAGCGTATAGTACTAGTTGTTTAGGTTTTATATAATTCCTTGACTAACAGTAGGCATCATGCTGTGAGGTGAAGACCTTGAGTCCTAAATGAAACAAGCTGTATTTACAACTCATACATTTATAAGAGCTGAAAAGACAGAACTGGCCAATTCACAGGTCACTAAAGATGTGTAGATTCAACTTGGGTCAGGGGCATATTTCCTTCAGTAAACTGAGCTGAGCTGTCATTTGGGGGGCTGACTGAGTTCTATTCTGTTATGCAATGGGATTTCAGAGTAAGTCTCTGAAGAGCTTCCACAGAAGCAATGCAGGAGAAATACTGAGGTACAACGAGAAGACAGGTTCCCCGATCCCCCCAACTCCCGTGAGGCATGCATGTGCCAGGCAGGATTTATAATGCCAACCAGTAAAACATCAATTAGGGTTTGTTTCCCCTTACATCAGCCATATATTAGAGGCCTTTAATTTTCTGAGTTCTTCTGCTGAATTTAAAATATGATTTAATTTATATCTTTTTTGGACCTACATCTGTTGGATAAGATGAGGTACACCTGCACTTCTCCATTGTATGGATATTATGTAAAAGAGAAAAGAGGGGTTGAAACAATTTCCAGTATCCTGTTGCTACAATGGTCTCTCCAGTAGCACTTCAATAAGTACAATAAGTATCTTACTAACATGCTTACACGTGACATTACCAACAATATACTCAGTGTTTCTGGACCCATAGGGATAGGCTTGATAGATAATCAGTCATTTGTTAATCTTCCCTCAGAAGGCCATGCTTAATACCATTTACTGAGTTTCCTAATATCATTAGCCTTCTCTTTTTCATTGAGGGAAACAGGATATTTTTAGGTTTCAGAGCGATTACTGTGGAAATGCGCTCTCTTAGAGGCACTTTCTTAAGTGAGCCCAGGGTGAATGTTTTGGGTCCAGCTTTGTGTCACATGTGAGTGTGTGTCTGTCTGCTTGCACAGCTATAGAGGCAAAAAACCACCGACCAGTCAGTTGACTTGCACCAAGGTCAGCAGGAAAAGAGGGGCAGAAGAAAGGGAGAGTAGAACTCTGAGCCCTTAGAGCTAGTTTAAGAAATTTCAATCAATGCTGAGGAGAAGGGAGAAAGATGGAAAGTCACTTGATTGGTCCATGATGTACCAAAGCTGAGAACAGCTTTAGAAAACAAAGTTAGGCCATTTTGTGTAAAAATACCACACGAAGCCTTATTTTTAAAGGAAACTCGCACATACACCATGAACAAAAGCCTACAGCCTGAGTTCCACATAGAGAGAACCATAAAATGAAGCTGCCTTATTCTCAATCACACATTTAAGGTTTAGCAGAACATTTTCGGAGCCTGGGCCATAGATTGTGACCATTCCTTAGCAATGTTAAATATTTATATTTCATCTTATTCTTTTCTAATTGAAAACATTCCTCAAAGGAATTTGAGCACTTGCTTTCTTCACAGAAACAACAATAACCTGCTTTAAGCCCAAGTGACTCATTTCCAAAGCTAGTTTAAGAAGAATTTGACATAATTGATGATGCTCTCCCACTGGAGAATGTAGAAAAGCTTTAACCAAAGAGAAACCCTGCACTTTTCACTTAGACAATAGGTTTTGGACTTCAGAGGTAGGGCCTGGAAGGAAGGGCTATGGGGTTTATTTGTGTTGCCTGCTTATATGTTTTCTTTTAAGCAATAATATATTTCAGTTAGAGGCTATTTTGAGAGTTCAGTTATGCCCATTTCAAGGAAATGCAAAGCCAATGGAAAATTACAACTGAAATTTTGAACAAGAAAAGCCACCACCATTTAGGAACCACAACATTTTTTTTTTTTTCAAATAAGCAAAACCATTTAAAGAGGGTGCTTTCTTCATTAAATTCAATAATAACCAGAAAGTCGCTATATTATAGTCAGATCTTACTAATCTTGATTTTTATAGGCACAGGCCTAGAATAAGAAAAAAGACCTCGTCCAGCCCTGTACTTTCATCACACACATACAAAGATACTTAAAGACAACTTTAGAAAAAGTGAAAGATTTCAAAATAGGCCCATTTGGCAGCAGAGATAAAGGGAGGGAAGGAAAAAAAAAAAAGCCCTATTTCTCATTTCATTTGTAATAACAGGCCATTTAAGAAAGCTGTGGCCTACCCCAAAGGGCTTACTTGTAGATTAAGGCCAATGAGTTTCTATGCTAATTTGCTCCAATACATACCCAATTTGTCGAGCTCACATGGCTAGTAACCGGATTGTTCTGGCAAAACAAACAGCCTAGTGTATGTAGCTCTTAGAACAGTGCCTTGCACACAGTAAGCACTCATAAAATCTTAACTATTATTTTTATTTGCTTATTCACTAACTCATCCAGGGCACTGAAGTAAACTTCCTGCTTCCGGTTCAGTCTTAGCTGTACTGGAAAGCAACATTGGAGTTTTGAACTGCAGGCTTGCAGAAGAGTGGCCCAGGCTCAGGGAGCTTAGATTACTCATCCTGGAGGTGGGCTGGGGCGGGGTTGGGGGTCGTTGGTGAGGAAGACTGCACACGAGGTGGCTCAGCCATCACTTCCTTGAAGCATTCTTGGATCACTCCAATTCATGCCGAACTCTTTCCTCAAATGTAACACTTGCCGTTCCTCTTCCAGCTTATGTAGCTTCAACTTTTTCACAAGGGGCCCTGCTTGAAGCTTATCTGAAATCCTCCCATGATCTCAGTTCAGGGCACTTAGCTGTGATGGGGTTTTGTAACATTCTGCTGCTGGAGGAGGACAGGGCCCTGGACCACAGAGAGAATGGCCAGCAGAGTCCAGAGAAGGTGCGCTAGGCAGACAAACTGTGGTCAACACAAAAACACTGTCCCCAGGCTGCAATACACCAAGTGTACCCTCATCCCTCTCTCCTGTTCAGGCAGCTCACAGAATGGTAGGTGGAATCAGAGTAAGTGCATGAGGCCCCTGCAGGCCTCAGTTTTACATCCACCCGCTCCCTCCCTTTCAAAAGGGCCTGCCTTGGTCTTCCCTGGTGGCGCAGTGGTTGAGTGTCTGCCTGCTGATGCAGGGGACACGGGTTCGTGCCTCGGTCCGCGAAGATCCCACATGCCGCGGAGAGGCTGGGCCCGTGAGCCACGGCTGCTGAGCCTGCGCGTCCGGAGCCTGTGCTCCGCAACGGGAGAGGCCACAACAGTGAGAGGCCCGCGTACCGAAAAAAACGAAAAACAAAAAAAACAAACAAAAGGGCCTGCCTTGTTTGCTCCTAACAGGGGAGGCATTCAACTTCACCTGAGTAGGCAGGCACTCAGCCCAAACCTGACATCACAGCGAAACATCACCAAGACTGAAAACAGTGGGGATATTCGAGACTACAAACCCAGGTCTCAGAAGGCCAACTGCTTTTAAGAAGTTGGCAGACTTCTCATGCTAAGTAGGGAAGGGATTGTTTACAATTGCTGGGGAAAAAAACACTCTGCAAACAAACAGCCAGCTGCTTTGCTAGGAGCTACCAAATGATTCCTCAGATGACTCATCAAAGAGCCACAGGTGGGCACTATATCGATCACCCTTTGTGATGATGCTGGTGGTGACAGTTCTAGCTCAGAAAGCGTGAAAATGGAGGAAAGAAAGGAGGTTCAAGAAGGGGAGAGGGGGTGGGAAGCTACCTGATTCCAGCCTGGGTTAAACTTTTGTGGTAAGGTAAAACCTTCTCCAGGTCTCCCCTACTGTGGAGGGAGAGGCACCACTATTTACTTGGAAATAGGAGTGATACCCGCTTTTCTCCTGGAGCAGATGCAGTGTGAATGTTTATGCGAACCAGAGGCTCTGCATTTTGAACCTCTCCTGCTGAACCCAATGGTCTGTTTCCCGCTGAGGAGCATGCTACACTTATATCTGGGTGGGCCACTGTGACACAGCTCAGCAGATCATGACTGCACCTCCCTAGAAAGAATCCAAACTGTTACACAAAGATAAAGCACTAAAATATTAGATCCTCATTTCTTGGGAATGAGGAGGAAGGAAGGAAGGAAGTTTCTACTCTACTAAAATAAAAGGAAGCTTTTAGTCTAGGGAGAATAATTTAGGCCTAGTTGGTAACTAGAGTCACTTAAAAGAGTCTAGTGACAGCAGTTGGTCTTTTTATTTTCCTGTAAATTATCTGGTTTTCCATAAATAAGATTTCTTTACAGTGCTCCCCAAACTCCCCAGGGACTGCTTCCAAGTGTCTTTAACATAAAGGTCAATGTGCTCTTGTCTCTCCTGGCAGACCCCCAAGATTAAACATTTTTTTCCCATTGGAAGACAAAAGGTGATGCTTTACAAATCACAAACAGGTGTGGGGCTCTGGAGGTCAGGACATGGCAATAACGAGTTTTCCTTGATAGTTTTCGTGAAATTGAGTGCCAGGGGCTCAGGCAAACAACCACTGGTAAATCTGAGTGGGAAGCTGGCCCAGGTACAGAACTCTCCACTGAAGTCAATTTAAGGGCTGGGGTGTGGAGCAGTGGTTTTCAGCAAAGGCCCGGGATAAAGGCACCCAAGGGTAAGCGGTCTGCACTGATCCCCTCTGGGCCAAATGGCAGCGATCCGGAAGCCATCTGTGGAGATCATGACTGAGGGACCCCAGACCACCTAACTCATTAGTCGCTGCTTCCCTGTGTTATTGACGAAGCAGAGCAGCAGGCACGGTGGACCTCGGATTTTCCACCAGATTGACAGAGCTCAGGTGGACCTTGAGTCCAGAGGCTCACGCAAGCCAGGTGGGCTGCAGGTGATAGGCATCACTTGAAATGGGGGCGCACTCACTCTACAAAGAAAACTGACTGAAAGGGCCACCGAGGAAACAGGTGCAAAGACGCCGTCCTCCCAGAAGTACAAGGCTTGTAGGATCTATACCCCGCCTCCCTTCCCTCCTCCGCAGCTCTGTCTCTCAGTCCTTACCATGGCTCCGCAAGTCCGCCCGCAAGCGCTGGTGCCCCAGGGACCATCTGGCGGCCCCTTCCTGGTTACTCATCCTCTCTTCCCACTCTGTGGTCGCCTGTGCGTGGGAAGAGCCTGGAGGTGCTCCCGACGGGACCCGTGTGCAATCCCGTCTCCAGGCTTGTGCTCGGAGCCCCGCCACCCCAGGGTGAAAGCTGTGCAGCCCACTCGCCGGCGCCCCGACCCGCAAACCGCGCGACACCGGTGTCCTTTAAGGCAGGGGACCCCTGAAGTTGTGTGTTTAAGGTTTAGCGTTTGGGGACTAGATCCTCGTTTGTCGTCAGATTCTCAGAGCGACACGGGGTTCTGTAAAGAGTCGTGCCCACTTGGAGACGCTGACCTTGAACCATAAGAGAAACCAAATACCCCGAATCCCGTGCTCTGGCGACCTCTGCAGAAACCCGGACAACTCACTTCCATCCTTCTGGTCAGGGGCTCCCTTCTCACCCTGTTCCAGCCCGGCCTGAGTCCCAGTCACCCGACCCGCTCCCGGAGACCAACCGGGTCAGTTCTGCGCAGCTGAAATTAGTGGCGATCCCCTCACCTGCTGAGGTCGCTCACGAAGCTGCCGCTCTTCTCATCCAGGAAGCGCTTCCAGCCATCGGCCGTCTTCACCCAGCTCTGCCCGGGGGACCGCCAGTCCTGCCCGAGGAATGGCATGGCACTGCCAACGGACGCGACGGATGGACGCGACGGGCTGATGGACGGGACTGGCCCGGCGGCCTTGGAGACGCGCCGCCCTGGGCGGATGCTCGGGGTGCCGGGGCCGGTGAGGGAGCGGCTGCAGGGAGCCCGAGTGGAGGGCTGCGGGATCGGGGGTGCGGAGCGGGGTACCTGTGCTCGCGGGGGGCGCTGTGGAGGGTCGCCGGGCGCGCGGGGCTCCCTGGAGTGCTGCGCTGCTGTCCCGGCCGCCGTATTTATCCCGGGCCGCTGGCCGCGGCTCTTTGTTGCCGGAAGAGGCGCCTGCTCTTAGCCCGGCCCCCCCAGCCCAGAGGCCACGTGGCTTTGTTTATAGGCTCGGCTTGTTTTCCGAGGCGCCCTCGGCTCCTGCACTTCTGGCTGTTGCACAACCGGTCGCTGGTGGAAACTTGAAGCCGCGCCGCGGGGCTGGGGCTCCCACTGCCCCTTCGCCTCTGGCCCTTCTGCCTTCCCACCCCGCCCCCAGGGCGCAGCTTCTGCAGCCGCGAGAGCGAGGCCGGGCACTCGGGAAACTGCGCCCCGTCCTCCTGCAGCTCCCGGCCTGGCGAGGTGCAGGGAGGGGGAGGCCCGAGTGGCGTCAGGATCGCTGCGGGGCGGGGGGTGGGAAGAAAGGACGGCACCCTTTCCAACCCCGAGCTGTCACAATCGAGCCCCGCGATCCAGAGCACCCCTGCAGGAACCGAGGCCCGGCACAGCGCGGCCCGGAGCCGGGTAGGAGGGCGCAGCCTCCTTGGCCTCTCTCGCTGCCTAGACCCGCTCTTGGGAGAAGGAGGGGACCCACCGCGAGGCGGGAGTGGGGCGGGGGGACAGCACCTCACCTCACCCTGCCCCAGAACTGTTAAAGAGTCTGCTGTCAGGCTTGTCTCCGAGGTGGCAAAGGAAGGAGAAGGAGGCCAGGCGGCAGCTGGTCCCCGCGCGGTGGGAGTGGAGAGCAGGGACAGCCCTCCACCCCACTCTGGCCACCCTAAGCGAGCCGCGCTGGCGCCTGGCCCGGGTCTAGGGCGCCGGGGAATGGGATTTTATTACGAAGAACTGCGAAGCCCCTTTCCCCTTCCTGCTGTTCGGCATCCTCTGGGCTATTAGGCTCTCCTGGGGAAATAATCAAGCCAGGAGTTTTGTTTTAGTTTTGGTGAGCGTTTAGGGAGAGGGGCCCAGAATGCCCCTCCTCCCGACTGATGGGGACTAAAGGAAGTTCGGTAAAAGTCCACAGTGAGGAGGCGATGCCCGAGAGTCCGAGGCCCTCACAGACCTCAGTTTATTAACCTCATCCTTGAAACCGCGGGGCGGGGGGCCGGGAGGGGGGCCCAGTGTGGCAGCTATGGTTTTCCAGACGAGGGCACCGAGAGCCCCTGAGAAGGGTTAAACCAGTTACTAGGGTCACAGGGCTAGTTTCTTCACAATCCACAGTACAATCTGAAATTATCCTGTTTGCTTTTTGGTAACAAGCTACCACTCTGTGCAGAATGTAATCTCCAGGAGAGATCAACCGTCTTGTTTTGGGGGTATCCCAGCTCCAGCACCTTGCAAGGCCTAGAGTAGGCCTTAGATAACTATTTGTCCAATGAGTAGGTGAATACATACGGGAAGCTGCTGACAATCAGGGTATCTTCTTGTTCTTCATGACTTCTAGTTATGATGCTTTACAGTCTGTTCCATTTGTCAATTAGATTGCAGAGTGGTCACAGCAGAGTAAAATCTGCATGCTCGATAATTAGCTTCCACTTGATTCCTTGATTCTTCCACACCCCTTCCTCTGCAGCCATCAACATTGCCCCACCGACTCTGTGCAATCTTTAAGGCTCAGAGTAGACAAAGAAATTGTGTGTGCCTTGGGAGGAGGGTACATGTTGGAGGGGAAAGGAGGTGTTTTTAATAAAGTCTGTTTTCAAGTAGCCAGAGTTTTCTGATTCAGGTTTTCCACCATAAATAATTTATTAGCATAGTAATAGTAAAAATATCTTGTAAAAACACTGCAGAAGGTCCCAAATAAATGATAGTCACTATGATCATGTTGACAGATGAGACAGTGTTGGGTCTGGCCTTTGTTGGAGAGAATTGATAGCTGTAAGGCAGCATAATAAAGAGATGTGATTATTAAAGATGCATGCTAGTTACATGTCAGCAAACTACATCTCTGTAGAAACTATAGAAGTCAAGATTTGAATTCTATTTCTGCTAGAGCAACATACTGTCTGTCTGACCTACATGAATGACAAATTCTGGAGGCACAGTTTCCTCAGCTGTCAAGAAAGGGTAGAGCCTATAAATGCCTACCTTTCAGGATTGTTTAGAAAGTGTGTTAAATGGGATTATTGTTACCAGTTCTTTCCTCTTTGGTAGTGTCGTGCACTCACATGGCCCATGGCCTCTTAGTAATATGTAACTCCCTGATTCTTTTTTTAAAATTGAAGTATAGTTGACTTACAATATTATATTAGTTTCAGTGTAATGATTCAGTGTTTTCATAGGTTATACTCCATTTAAAGTTATTATAAAACAATGGCTGTAGTTCCCTGTGCTGTGCAATATATCCTTGTTGCATATCTATTTTGTATATAGTAGTTTCTGTCTCTTAATCCCCTACCCCTATCTTGCCCCTCCCCCCCAATATCTATTATTTTGTTCTCTGAGTCTGTTTCTGTTTTGCTATATACTGTATATTCATTTTTAGTTTTTAGATTACACATATAAGTGATAACGTAAAATATTTGTCTTTGACTTATTTCACTAAGCATACTACTTTCTAGGTCTATCCACGTTTTTGCAAATGGCAGAATTTTATTCTTTTTTATGGCTGAGTAACATTCCATTGTGTGTGTGTGTGTGTGTGTGTATCACATTTTCTTTATCCATTTGTCTGCTGATGGACACTTGGGTTGCTTCCATATCTTGGCTATCGTAAATAGTGCTGCTATGAACATTGGGGTGCATGTATCTTTTCAAATTAGTGTTTTCATTTTTTTGGATATATTGCCAGGAGTGGGACTGCTGGATCATATGGTAACTCTATTTTTTAGTTTTTTGAGGAAACTCCATACTGTTTTCCATAGTGGCTGCACCAGTTTACATTCCTACTAACAGTGTACATCCACAACCTCACCAACATTTGTTATTTGTAGACTTTTAGATAATAGCCATTCTGACAGTTGTGAGTGATCTTATTGTTGTTTTGATTTACATGTCTCTAATAGTTAGTGATGTTGAGCATCTATTCATGTTAGCCATCTGTATGTCTTCTTTGGAAAAATGTCAGGTCTGCCCATTTTTTAATCAGGTTGTTTGATTTTTTGATATTGAGTTGTATGAACTGTTTATATATATATTTTGGATATTAACCCCTTGTCGATTGTATCATTTGCAAATATTTTCTCCCACTCAGTAGGTTGTCTTTTCATTTTGTTGATGGTTTCCTTTGCTGTGAAAAAGGTTTTAAGTTTAATTAGGTCCCATTTGTTTATTTTTACTTTTATTTCTTTTGCCTTAGGAGATAGATACGAAAAATATTGTTACCATTTATGTCAAAGAGTGTTCTGCCTATGTTCTCTTCTAGAAGTTTTATGGTTTCAGGTCATAGATCTTTAATTTTGAGCTCATTTTTGTATATGGCATGAGGAAATGTTCTTATCTCATTCTTTCACATGTACCTATCCATATTTCGCAGCACCACATATTATTGAAGAGACTGTCTTTTCTCCATTGTATATTCTTGCCTCCTTTGTTGTACATTAATTGACCATAGGTGTATAGGCTTATTTCTGGGCTCTCTATTCTGTTCCATTGATCTTTGTGTCTGTTTTTTTGCCAGTACCATGCTGTTTTGATTACTGTAGCTTTGTAGTATAATCCAAAGTTGGTACTTCCCTGATTCTTAACATTAGCCTTGGCCATGTAACTTACTTTGGCCAATGGGATGCTAGTGGATATGATGTGAGCAGAGAATATAGAGGATATGTTGTGTGTGCTTGTCTGATTGGACTAGTCCTCTTGTACTTCTACCAGCACCCTGGCAAGAGCATACCTGGGGTAGCCACTGCTCCTCAAGCTTTGGTCCTAGGATGTGACACATGGAGCAAACACCCCAGTTGTCCTACAGTTATGTTAGCAAGAAATAAATGTTTATTATCGAATGCTACTGAGATTATTGTCATCTTTTATTACACAGAATTATTGTGTCAATAGCTGACTACTACAAAGGGTTGAGTAGATAAAAGTTTGTGAAAGTTTTACTTTGAAAGATTCAAGATTCAAGCACAAGTTGGAAATCACAATTTTTGGGTCCTTGTCTTTTTGGGTAAGAACTAATCTCAGGAAGCCTCAATGTTTGTCTCTAGTCCTTTGGCTTTCTCTTCCTTCTCAAAAAAAAAAAAAATGTGGCTATCATATCTTAGCTCAGCCTTTACTGAAGTATGAGTGACTGCTTTAGATTTCCCACACCATTAAAAATCCAACTTGACACTTCTTCCAACACATGGTTTCTAACTAGGAAGCCTTGTAATGCTGAGCCCTTCAAGATAAAGAATGTGCTAGGCCATGTCTAGACCAGTTACCTTCACATTAGATGTTGACTTGACTTTGCAAAGCCTCTGGAATTGGAATCCTTATCATGGCTGAGCATTTGAGAACCACAAAGACAAATGGCTTTGGACTCAAGATATAGGGGCAGAAGGATACTCTGAGAATTTCACAAGGCACAGACTGGGGAGGACAAGCGTGGCCTGATGGTTTGAGCAGTGCACAGGATAGTTTGGCCATGAGTTCCATTGCACAGATACCGAGCCTCTGCCACTCCTGAACAGCTTTGTGCAACAGATTGACCAAATCACATGCTGGGTATTTGATTATTTACATGTGCTTCTCCCCTGTGGGACTGTGAGCTCCTTGTTGTCAGGGCTGTGTCTTAGTGGTTTAGTCATCACAGTGCCTAGCATGGTGCTTGGTACATGACAGATAAATGAGAAATAACACAATAAATGTTGAACTACTGTGGGATGCTGTTAGTTCCATGTCTTTACCTATTGACATATTATTTTTAAGGACATAGCAGAATAGGGAGGTGGGAGAGTTCAGATATGCAGTCCTGCCCTGCGTATCTGAATTCTGCAACAATGGTGCCTTACCAGTTGGTGAGACAAATAGAGAAGGTGGTCAAAATCCTAGAAAAAGATGTTTTAATGTGCTTGTTACCTTGATGGCAGATATTAGCCTTGCTAAAGATAGTGTGCCAAGCACTTTGCAAACGTAATCCTGTTTAACACTCCTCACAAAAGCCTGTGAGCTAAGTATCATTATCCCCATTTTATAGATGAGGAGACTGAGGCTCAGAAAAGTTAAATAGCTTGCCTAGGATAACTCAACTATATGTGGTGGAATCCAGGCTGGTACCGAAGTCTATCTTCAACCCCAAATGGAGCCAGATTGACTGGGTTCAAATCATAGTTCCCTGCTTAAATAGTTGTGTGTCCTTGGGCAAGTTACTTAACCTCTCTGTGCTACTTTTTCCTCATTTGTGAAATGGGAATGATGACAGTACCTACCTCAGAAGGTATTGTGAGATTGAAGTAACATGTATAAAGGTACCTATAACAGTGCTAACATCA